AATAATAGTCAAATACAGACCTTCAAGAAGGTAAACAAATCTGACTGTTTAGGTTTCAGTCAATAAGATAAAGCTGTTAAAAATGAGGTAATAAGTGAGCCAACGATACTTAAATACTCTCAAGTTTTTAAGGCTACACATGACATTTGCAGGCAGCTTCATTTATGTTTCAGTTTGCTGAGGGAAAGCACCCATTTCTCCCACCACGAGTGTTAACAATTTCAACCATTATTATAAAGTTATTGTTTTAGTAACTATTTTGAGTCCAATCATGCCAAGTGGTACTTATCTGTTGTAAAGCAAGTGAGCTGATTTGAAGAAACTGAAAACAGATGCCCTTTTAAATTCCATGAAATAAGTGGAAACAGGACTACATCTATTTCAGGTTATCATATTAACATTTCATTTATGGAATCAAAATCTCCCAGGGTGCACTCAAAATCCACATGATGTCTTGACTGCTAAAGTTTTCATGAGGATCTGTACATTAACAAATAAATAGGCAATGTAAGAATACAAATATTTGCCCACAGATGTGGCAGCTAGTAACACATAAAAGATGAGGTGACATGATCTAATTGTAAGAGAAACTGAAATGAGTTTAGAAGGCTTTCAAACAACAGTAGCTAGTTCACTGCTGCACCAAAAGAAGAAAAAAAAATAGTATGAATAGTTTTCTGATGTAACTATAACACTCTACGATATGTATGGTGGTCAAGATGATGAGGGATGATGGACAAGATTGGCAATTTCCTAAAATGAATGAAAATTAACAGAATTCAAGTTACATATTATCTGTTATCAATCAAGATGATTGACCCAAGTATTTGCATTGAAGTAACTACTGCAAACTTAGCCATATTGAAATAACCAGCAATCACCTTCACATAACCATTCCCAACATTCTCACAAGCATCTCCCACAAAAAGGCTCAGCTTACTACCAATACAAGAGCACAGCATCTGAACTCTGGCTGTTGAATCAGGGACACAAGTGCTGGTACACAAGACTTGAATCATTCAAGTCTGTCAAAAAAAGTACTGAATTGAGCAGAGGAGGAACATCCTGCCTACAACCACCATTAAGTATACAGATCACAGATTCCTGGTGCCAGAGAAAAAAAACAAACAAACAGAGCTTTATGCCTAGAGCAGTCAAAAGACATGTCCAAAATTTAAAAAAAAAAAAAAAAAAAAAAAAAGATTGTAAAGCATGGGTGTATCTAACTGTCAGAAGTACTGTAGATCAGAGACATTCCTGAACAAGGCTGAGGAATAGTAGCAATCACTGTACACAGCTTCATGGGCTTACACAGAAAGCATGCTAGAACCATACAGTGTAAAGAAGCAAGTCCCTTTTGTTCTTCTATTGGAATTTCATGCATTCATACACATTTCTTTTTTGTCCTCTACCACTTTCATTTCACTAAGAAAGTATTGGTTGAATACCAGTACACAATAAGCATAAAAAAGGAAAATTTGTTTCACCATTTCTGTTATCTCATCTCCCCACTCAAAAGAGGTAACCAGATGGCAGCATGAAAACATCAAACATCATTTTTTACTTTCTACAGAATTTATCAAATGAGAGTTCAGTTGTACAGAAGGCAATTTAGCCAATCTGTTCTTTCTGCAGTTTACACTGCTATATAGAGAAATTCTCAAGAACATCTCAATCTAACGTGCCTTCCATTTTCCTGTTCGTGCAACATATCAAAGCATCCATTTTTCATTCAGTTCCTCACTGTGCCATTTTCCCCTTTCTGCTACATTATCTTCATCGCATTTACCCACTATCTTTCCAAATTCCTATTGATTGGTTTTTATTGTTTCTCCTCCACAAGCTTTCTTCCTTCATTCCTTGAACTTCACTTCTCACATCCGTCCTCCCACATAAGCCTTTTTTTTCGAAAGACTTTAAAATACAGTCTTAGCTGTACCCACAATATTATGCATTTCTTCTAAGACTAAACAAGTCAATGTTCTCTGAGCTGTATTTTCTCAGTTTAACACAACTGTTTCTTATTAGGTTAGATGGACTTTCATGCATTTTACCCAGCACTCTGATTTAAAAGAAAACTAAACCATTAGCCTCAGACTTACTAACAAGTACTTGATTCAATTTTCATTAAATGTTTTGAACCACAAAATTTGCCAAATTCCATTGGCTTCAGAAGCATATAGTGCTGGTAGAAAACCCTTCTTCCACAAGGTGTATCCTTGCAGCCATGGCTCACCCTCCATCTGCATTCTATTGCATTTTACTTTGCAATTGACCCACAGAATCACAGAATGGCAAGGGTTGGAAGGGACCTCAAGGATATGAATCTCCAACCCCCTCCGCCACATGCAGCGCCACCTCCACATTCAATACTAGACCAGGGCCCCATCCAACCTGTCCTTGAATGACTGGTGACAAACACATGTGGCCTTATACCTCTGGAGATTGCACTAAGCTTTTGGGTCTGTTTGTTTTGGTTTGTTTTCTTTTTCCCTTTTGTTCTTCCAATCTTTCACCACAGCTGTCTTTCCTCTTCTAACACCACAGAAGTGCACTCGCTCACTGCAGCCCTTCCAATCTCACAAGCTTGCTGTGACACTCCAATTCTCATTCCATTTATATGCACACTAGGAATAGCAAGAGGCTGCTAAAAGAACAACCAAGCTTTTCTCCGTTCTGTTATATAGCCTGGCATTGTCGAGATTGCTTTAAAGAGTGCTCCTATCTCGAGACTGTAAGCCACAATGAAGCTGAGCCATTTAATTTTTTTGCAGTTCTGGTAAACAGACAGAAGTAATGTTGAACTGAGTTTTTGAACACCCAGTAATGATTCCAGTTGGGATCAGGAGCAAGTCACCAACTAAATACCAGTGTTCTTCAGAAAGAAACCAGTCTGTAAAAGTATAATTAGTAAGTAATGCTGATAATCAGTGAGGCTGCTGAAGTATGAGCTGAGTAACACCTCACCTCCTTTCTGATTTTCATTATGTCATAAAGCTGCACTTTTGCATTTCTGAGGAAAGTGACAGTGCAGCTGAGAGAAAGTGAAAGTGCCACATAGCACAGAAATAGTGAGGTATAATGTGTATCTAATAGCATGAGAGGAAATGGCAGTTAAGTAACAGCAGCCTCTGCTAGGAAGAAAGTCACAGAATGCCTCCTGCACTAAAAGTTCAAAGAGATGTTCAGAAAGTGCACTTGAATTACAGAGAAGAATCGTAGCAACGAAAGCCAGTCTTAAATTCACCAAGGATTTCTGGTAAAATCTCAACTTTTTCCTTTCCATAAGAAAGTTTTCAGCTAACATCCACAAATGCAAAATAACCCATAAGGACTGACATGACTGTTGTGAATGAGATCACTTGAAGATTCTTTCAGTTTAAAACCCAGGAGTCAAGTCTCACATCATGTATCAAAATGCTCCTCTAATCTTTCTAATACATTCTTCCATCTTAGGCTTTACAAATGAGCTGAGAGCAGTCTTAGAGTGTATGTGCCTGAACAGCCTTTAAGTTGACAATCTTGCATAGCCACAACAGAAAGAACTGTTTTCTGCATCAGTGAGTATCCTCAGATACAGGGTGCACTACTAGTGTTAAAAAAATAATCTGATATTCTACCTACCCAGAGAGGAAATATATAGGAAATAAAAATATATTAAAAACTTCTACATTAAAAACCACTGTCCAATCATTCTCTCTATCACATAACTACCTTATAAATATCTACCTATTAAAAAAAAAAACCAATAGATTTCAGTAATTTGTTTTTGAGTATAAGAACAGGAGCTTTATCTATCCATTTCCGCCAGAACTGACTTCATCAGAAACTGAACTAAAATCATTACTGTAATTTATCAAGCATTCCCTGTTCTTCAAAAACAAAGCCATCGCACATAAACGACGCAGCTTGTCATCTATGTAGCTTGAGGGTTTCTCATGCATTCAAATTTTCCACCTCACAGCATTAAATTTAATTATGTAACAATGAACTTCTGTCCTTAGATAACTTATTGGCCTGAAACTGCTGGAGCTATCTGCTACAATACAATTTTACAAATGCTTTTTAAAGACAAAATACGTCACGTAACAGTATCGGACTTTAAAATACAAAGATCTTGAATTCTGCCACATTAATTAGCACAGAAAAAAGGGAGAATCTTTGCAGTAAGCTGTGCTTGTTGATGACAGCACAAGCCACTGGGAACAGTAACCCCACATACTGTTCAGACAAAATTTTGCATCATTTCCCTTATTTTTCAAATTTTGTACATACCGTACCCTAAACAAGAAAAAAAGCAGATTGCTTTCTGAAAACCTCTACATTTAAGTTTCATATTTAATTTTCCTTTTAAAAAAATGAACAAAACCTCAACAAACAAAATCTGTTTGTGGGGAAAAGAAAACGTAGAAAAGTAAAATAAAAATAATTAGAAAAAAAAAACACTTAAAAGCAAAAGCAAGCGTAAGCTTTTACTACCCCCGGCTGACTTTTCATAGTGATAGAGACTTAACGAAAATAAATAAATTATGTTACATTTCAATTACATTTGAACATGTATATCCATTAGGGGAAAACCATGACCTTACAGAAATCAGAGTAGAATAAGTAAACTTGTTTTTCCAAATCTAATCAAAACGTCCTGTGTTTCACATACATTATCACATCAATGTCAGCACACATCAGAAAAGCAAAGCCTCTATCTGAAGTTCTCAACAATAAGTTGTTAACTTGAAACAACACTGATCTCTGATTACATATAAAAGGCTTGATTTGCCTTTGTGCTGCCATGCAACCAGAAAAATTAACAAACATGCTGTTTTCAAAGATGTGAATATTAAAAGTTCCTTCCGTATTAACTGCCTAATGTGATAAAATTCATTTAAATTACTCTAATCTTCTGTTAGGGAAAGGCTTTTGAAATCTCAGTTATCAAAAATTTGTTCTACATCATTAATTGCCTTAACGAAGAAAGAGAATACTGTCATTATGACACTTACCCAATCATAGCGTTTTCTTTAATTTGGCCCTCTGTGCCATTTACCATAGGTTCTTGATTTCTGTTTTCCTTCTCTGAAGCATCACTTGAGAGGCCCAATAAAGCTCGTACTTGTTTTGACTTCACATCCAATATTGTGTCAGTGTAACCCACTTCTTGTAGATACCTGTAGGAACAGAATTCACGTTAATTCTTCATGCACATCTTACTCATTCCAAACAATAAATGAAAACTTCTCCCTAAACTCATCTTCTGCATCTTAGCTTAGCAAAGTATGGTGCTGTGCTAATGAAACATGCTTATAAATCATCCTGTACCAGCTGCAGAGGGATCGTCTCTTGCTGTACCAGCCTCTACAGTCACTGAGGAAAAAAATCAAAGAGCCTAGCAGTCAGAGGTTATACAATACGTTATTCATTCATTTACTAAAATGGATGGAAAAGCACTTTCAATTAAAATATTTACAACTGGCTTATAAAAATCACCACAGTTGCATGTACAATATAGCCATTTTATTCCTCAACACATGGAAACTACACATGAAGCCTTACAAGAAGTGGGAGACATGTTCCTACAAGAATCATTAGAATCCAAAGAGAACAGAAGGAATAAAACCAAATTCTGTAGCTATAGCTACTAGTAAGAATGGTTATTTATAATGCAGTAGTTTTGATAAAATCTGTGCCTTGTCTTTCTCACTCTGCAATTTATCTGCAAAATATTAATTTGTCTGGCATGTAAGGACTGGGCAGCAAAAAATCTTGGACATTTTATATGAAAATATCAAGGTCTAAAGTCGGCACTTTCATCAGTGCACAGAATTACCTTTGGAAAGATCTGTCTCTGTTCCTTCCTCTACAAAACAAAGTTAATAAAGCTATCTCCTTAGGAATACTGAGCTAATTAAATAGTCAATAATCTGGATGACTCTGAAGAGCAGAAATGCTATTCTACAATAAGAGCTGTCACAAATCAAGGACATGCACTTTTCCAACAAAAATATCTTCCTCCAGTTATTTAATGATATCTTCTACATAAATACATCTGCAGAGGAATACTGCCTGATGGCTATATGAAAATCAAACCAGACGTCTATGCAAAAGAGAGTCTGTCAGTAATGAACTCTATTCGGCAATGTACAACCTATGAATTACACTGGGAGGGAAGGACTTGCCTTGAAATCACTCCAAGTCACTTGAAATCACTTGAAATCAATCCAAGTCAAGATTACTTTAATTATGTTTATGCAACTTAAATGAAGAGATATGGGTTCTTGGAAAAAAAAAAAAAAAAGAGTAAAAGCCACCCAATAGACAAACTGGACAATTTTAACTTTTGTACAATTCACTGGAAAGAGGCCCATTCCAATAAGCCCTAGGAAGTTTTTACCATCTCCCTCCCCTCTCATGTAATCCTTGGTAACACAAAAAAACCCACTAGATATCAAAAATTCTGCTAATTGGTTGAGGATCATAGAATCCAGCTTTCAGCTTAGAAAAATGAAGCTTACACATGGAAAAACATGCTCAGGGCGACCCTGATAACAGGTCTTGTAAGAGACCCCTGTGTAAATTGAGGGCTGTAATCAAGGCACACACACAAAAAAAAAACAACAAACAACCAAATACTTACCACCAAAGAAATACAATCAAATACTCTGGAACTGGATAACTCACTAGGAGCAGAATTCAAAAGCTGACGTAGATTAACAGACATTTGCTTCATTAAGATGAATCAAGAATTAGAAAGCTTTTAGTCAAAACTTCCTAATGATTTCTATACATAAAGTAGACCAAAACAAATTATATCCCTCTGCAACCCAGGCTGGAGATTTATTTTAGATAGCTCTTAACAGAGTTGTGTTTTCTTTTTAATTGAAAAAAAAAAAAAGTAAGGTGTCATGAGCCACTGTACTCCCAAGCAGACTGTTCTATTATACTCAGTAAAAGAAAAGCAGAGGAGATTGTTTGATTTCGTAAGGTTCCCCACCTGAAGTTCTGAAGTATTAAAATTTTTCAGAAGCTTAGTAAAGTAGGGCAGAAGATGAATGAATTTCAACGCACTAACTTTTCTTGAAAGAAAACCTAACAGAAAAATCAAATATCACTATCATCATATTTCATTAACAGATACTCTTTCTTGCACTCATTACTCAAGTTCTTTTCTCAACACTTACTGTCTTAGCAGCTGTCGTCCTTGTTTCCATATTAGCTGACTATTTTGTTGTGGCTGAATCTCTGTTTCATTCCCTTCATCTGGAAAAGATTATTTAATTAAAAACAGCTTTCTTTGTATGACATTTAAAAAATATTCCCCTCCACTTGACAAGATAAGTGTAATTTGTATTAAAAGTATTAGGAAAGATTGGATAACAACACAAAAATTCCAAGCACCAAAAATCAATCAAGAAAGAAAAAAATTCATACAGAACATAGCTGTTCTATTACTGACACATAAAAAATACAGATAATCAACTATATACTTTACTACATGAGATCAAGTTCCTCTAGTCATCAGTATCTTCTTCCCTAGGGTCTCACATCCAGGAGACCCATCTTTTTCCTTTTTCCTCAAAGGGAACACAATTACATAAACAATTTGGAGTTCCAATTTAATTACTGCTCATTATTCAAGTTTCAATACAAATAGCTTTAACTGCTAACAATATCAAATGGAACCGTAATAGGACAAGGGGAGAACGGTTTTAAAATAAGACAAGGGAGGTTTAGGTTAGATCTTAGGAGGATGTTTTTCACACAGAGGGTGGTGACACACTGTAACAGGTTGCCCAGGGAGGCTGTGGATGCCCCATCCCTGGAGGCATTCAAGGCCAGGCTGGATGTGGCTCTGGGCAGCCTGGTCTGCTGGTTGGTGACCCTGCACACAGCAGGGGGCTATAACTAGGTGATCTTTGAGGCTGTTTTCAGCCTAGGCCATTCTATGACTCTAGAAGTCTATCTGCAGTATCATTTCCATCTATAATATACCGGTAAACAAATTTCCTTAATATTTGACCATACCCATCGAAACTACTCACACCAACTTTAAACTCATCTGTATTTACATTATTGTTATGGAAGAAGAAAAAGAAAAAAAAGCTTTATTTATTAATCTAAGAAGCTGTTGAAAATTTTCCATGTTTTCCACAATCATTAATCAGAACTCAAACAGCACTACTCTGGGAAAATCCACAGAAAAATTATATGGCTGTTCCGGTGAGAAACCTACCTGAATGCTGGCAACTAATAGCTACATATTTTTCCATACATAGCTTCATAGTACTTTTTCCCCCCTCCTTCAGGAAATAAAACAGTATATGCTCCTAAGATAAAAAATATCTTGGCTTATTAGCTACAAAAAGCTCTACAAAAAGAACTTGAAGCCATTCTGGTAAAAACACTGAAGGATGAACAAAATCTTTTTTGCATAAACAAAAATTAAGAACCAGAAAAGCTTGTGGTATAACCCTATGAATAATTTGATAAGTGATATGGGAAAGTTACTGAACATACCGGGAAGTCATTCCTCTTTGAACAACTGAATTGAAAAAAAAAAAAAACCACAACAAAAACACCAATGCATCCTCTAACAAAGAAGCTACCAAAGATTCATCAGAATTCAGACATAAGGGGACCAATATCCATTTTATCTATCTCAATATTCACAAACCCATTTAATAGCAACCATGGAAAATCACCTCTTGCACAATGACAACTGACAACTACTGAACACAGCTGGATGCAATACACAACTACCAAAGCTCACTCTATGTAAGAGTTAATATATAATGGAGATAAATCTGCCTAAAAATTACTTTTGAAAGTGAAAACCCTTCTTCTGAAGGCACTGTTAAGCACAGCTGGAGTCAAGAACTCTCTTTTTCTGAGCCTCTGAAAAAATGACTGATGGCAGTATTGGTGGTTTATGGATGAGTACTGAAGGAACTTTATTAAGTCTATTCCCACTGCTTCTTCTGAGTGACATATTTCATCAACCGTCATTTCAGCATTTGTAAAAGCCATAGTAGAGCTTTTATGTCAGTAATGAACTCATTCTTAATAAATTCTTACCAGAATCATAGTTCGGTGGCTTCATATCTCCCTGATTCAATTCTGTGCCGTATTTCAATTTGTGATATTTAGCCCTGAAAAGAGATGGGAAAAACAAAACAAAACAAAAACACTTAAAGGGTACAAATAGACACATAAATATTGTCTGTCCTCATTATAAAAACCACTTCATCTTTCTAGGACAGGTACAAAACAAAACAATGAAATTCAGCGCATTATTTTGCCTAATTAATTTTTTCAAGCTTCCCTGTTTGCGGATATGTGCTTGCTTCTCCTGCCCCTCCGCTTCCGTGTTAAAAAAGAAAATCAACTATCAAACTTCTTCTATCCCCAGAACGTCAGTTCAGTGCCATTTACTTCATACTTCACTTTGCCACCTCAGTAAAACAAATTTTTTCTTCAAGCTTTTCTCACTAAGGACCACTCAGATTCTACTGCTGATGGCAGCCCAGCTTCTCATGCAACTGCTAGACCTGACGCTTAATTGAGTTCAAAAACTCAGAGTCCTCTTCCAAAAATACTTAGTCTATAGAAGGCCTATTGTGATAAGCTCCACAAAGAATGCCATGTGACCATACGAGTAGCTAGAAGACAAAAAGCCTCATCTGACAGATTCAGTGTTTATAGACTTTTAAACATACACATTACAAATAATTTCACAGTAGTATAACATTACAAATCTATATGGAAGTTATTTAATAAGGATTTATCACAATAGATAAAACCTGACAACACAGTAACTAAGGCAACACTGAGAGCAAAGACAGCCTTACCCAGTGTCACTATCATTTCCCCCTTCTCTTATACCCATTGTAACTCTTGTCTCAATAAGTGGTTTCAACAAGTACAAAAACTTAGAAGATTCAAACCCAACTGATTCCCTATGAAGTTTTGTAGCCATTCCTAACTGGGTGGAGAAGCAGCACTTGCACTTGTTCCTATCATAAATCAAAGGCAAGAGAGAACTCAAGCAAGACTCAAGATTCAGCCTGGCAACAGTGGGAATACCAACCTGCATGCATATGGGCAGGCACAGCACCAGTGCAAACGCACTGAGCTGGGTGTAAGGCAAGATATAGGCAAAAAAAGACAAAAAGATGAAAAAAAACCCACACCCACTTATGCATATCAACAATAAGACAGGCTTCACTGGCTTCACTACTTGCAAAGGAACTCTTCCATCTGAAATGATTTTAAAGAAAATAATGTGCTACACCTCATAACTGCACCAGGCAACTGCCACTAGCAAACTCGTTACTTCTAATAAAATAATGCTAATGGAAGTGATGTTTGGTAGTTCTTACACCTCAGTATTGACAGTACACATTTCCTAACAATTTGGCCTTTTTTTAGTGATAATAAACATTTAATTCTGTGTGAGCAACGTGAGTGCAGAGAGATGATGCCTCTTAAGAGTACGCAGCAACTAAGACAGATGAAGGAATTCACATCCCTCTCTCAAGCTAGAGCATTAAGTTCTACCTCAGCTAAGCAGCAATCACTGAGGAAAGAGGAGGGAATGTATTCGAAAGGTATGAACAGAAAAAAGTGAAAGAAAAACATTTTGATAGGTACAAAGAAGAATATCCAAGAATAAAACAAAATTAAAGCTGAATGCCCATCTGAAATACTTACTTCTCAAAGTATGTTTTCTACACATCACAAGCAGAGAGATGTTTCCCCAGTTAGACAAACCCACGTAAGTACTGTTAAATACTGATACTGCGCACATTTTTTCACCCCACCACCATTAATGAAAAGTAACGACTGAGAACAAATCCTCTAGTCTGACACTAAGCTACCTCAGCAACAATAAACATCCCATTAAAAAAAAAAACAACACTTAAAGCTTTTATGCAGTCAGCAATTCAAGTGATCTTAATGTTTAATTTATTTTTATTTGACTTTTGAAAAGCAAATATTAACACTTCACTTAAATCTGGATTAGTGACATATATGTATATATACACAGTACTTCACAATATTTCAGAGAGCAGTTGGTTTTGTGGCATGGGGTACTTGCTTTTAGTTCATACACCTTATATAAATTCCTATTCTCTTCAAAGCATTCACCAGTTTTCTAGTCAAAGTTTTGTTAATTTTCTCCCTAAGAACTAAATACAATGATTATTAGGTTAAGAGAAAAGATTATTCCCTTTGCCCTTCTTATATCCAAAACCTACCTTTCAAAAATTCAATCTGTACTTTTTAATACTTCTCAGTGTATTTGTTACCAACATTAAGACTCTGTATATTCACAGTTTGTTTATTTTTACAGTTCTTAGAGGGTTTTCCTTCTTTAAACAAACAGTAGCACTTTGTGACTTTTTTCTAGTTGAAATTTTCCCCCTCATTAAATGCATGATAAAATCAGTTCAGCATAGTAAGATTCTTCATTCTGCTCACATTCTAATCTATTAGTAACAGAGTTGGGTTTTTTTTGATTGCTTAGTTGTTTTTAAATCAGTTCCTCCTTGTAATGCAACAGTTTTTGAAGCCTTTATTGCTCTTTCTTAAAACAAGAGGATAACCCAGATTGCATGATCTGGTACACCATAGGTCCTTAAATTTATTTCATTACTAAGCTGGACTAAGACTTCATCTACCAGAAGATTTAAATGCATCACAGGCAGAGACCAATGAAAATATAGATGCAACAAAAGCACAATGCCCTGACAAAGACAGCTGACAAGCAGAAAAAGCAATAGACGTTTACTGGTATGAAATGAAATCCCAACGCAAAATTGAATTAATTACAATGAATTAGTATAAACTCAGATTGCTGAGCAAGACAAAACCATTGAGATATAAAAAAAATGTGAATACAGTGACAGAGCATTTGACCTGGTAAACCCACCTTCAGCTGTGGTTAACTTCCAGTTTAAAGGAAGGGGGAGGGTAAGGTAGCTAGCTGTCCACTGGGAAAAAAAAAATAACTCACTCTAGCAGGAAGTGGAAGATTTATTATTAGTAACATCCTCATGGTACAGCTGAAAATGTCACAAGGATGAAAGTCTCCTTCTTTCTAAAGTATACTAAGGAAAAGACTGAATACAAGGATTAAGAATCCAAGTCTTAGAAGGGGAAGTCTTGATCAGCCACTGCCGCATAAGGAAAACAAAAGGCATGAAAGGTCTCACAAAATAAATCTTAATTATTGTCTTTCCACATTCTTCGTATGACTTACCTCTTACCATGTTTATATTTCTCTGTTCCTTCAAGTAACATATCTCCTGCCCACCAGATATGTTTAATTACTCCATTTCCTCAGAAAGCACATATTCTAGTTATTAGCTGCTTGAAATTGTCCCTCTAGCACTCTTGCTGAACTGTAGTTCACACAGCACAGTAGTGAGATGCTACTGCCACAAAAGAGAGCAAATACAGTATTTCTTCTAGAAATTTGAAAACAGAAAAAACAAAATTCCTCCAAACTTGGCTTCATCTGCTTAAAAATACTGAGGTAGCCTTGGGATTTGGCACTCACAAAGTTGAGAGCCTAGCACTGTTATCTGAAACATGACCAACATGGGTGGCTTAACTGTTTTCTGAAAATTGAAAGTTGTCTGAAGAATGCAGTTTTGGGGCCATAAAACTATTTCAGCAGACAGATAGCCTTACTCAGCTAAGTATGTATATTACTACTGCTCTGGCTTTTGCACTTCATTATACATCTTTTTATCACTATTGCTATTATCATTTTCTTTAAACTGTGTTTCTTCTATACAAACAGTGCTTGGATGCATTAAACATTGCTGCCACAACACTTTAAGAGGTGCTCAGAAAAACGCTAAAGGCATTCATCCTTCAAACTCTCCTAAAATTGAGAGCAGTTAAACTTTTCTGAATGCCTCATATAGAAAAGCTTGATTCCAATCAAAAAAAGCCACTATTTCTTGGAAATATCTGTCACTGGACCTGAAGCATCTGATCCAGCTGTGCTGAGGGAGCCTGCCAAAACATCCGTAGAAGATCTAGGAGTCGTCGCCAAACCAAGAGACATAAACAAGAAAGACTGCCAGGAACAGCAATGTAAGATGCTCTATCCAGGGGTGAGGGCGCCAGCCTCACTCTGATCAGGCACATTAGTGCAGAAAACAACATAAAATTAAATCAAATATTTCTAGAGACATGGCTCAAGAGTCAGGTTCTCTGGATGGGATATGTTGAGACAGGAAACGACCTAGACTAATTTACTAAATTAGACACACACTTGAGAGAAATAGTACTACATTTTGTTTAGCTCCTGAAAATCCAAAGGAAATAATGCCATTTATTGATGGAGCAACTATCAATAGAGCAATAAAAAAAATAACACTCAAGGACAAACTGCCTCACACTGAATATCTACAGGATGTTGGCAAACCTACACCAGAACTGCTGCTGAAAAAATGGTAGTGATTAACTCTTTCTAAGTTCTTTTCTCCTTACTGTATTGACTATTCAGCAGAAACAACTTGATTACATACACAAACAACAAAAAGGTAGTTACCACTACTGATATAATGAACAAAACAAAATTTGTCAGAAAAAAACATGATATTACGTAAACATTATTTTCTACCTTCTTCAATACAAAATCAGGTAAATGCCAAGAAACAGAACACTGCTTCTGAAATTTATTATTTAAAACTGATTGGAAAAAAATCTGAAGATCCACTCTGCAAAAGAGCAGCTCATAAAATCTCATACCTGAGAAGGCCCATGTCAACCATTTCTTATTTTGGGAACACTGCGAGCACAAACTACTGTGGATCAAGATTTAATATTCCGTTCAATTACTAATAATCTATTTAATCTCATTAAAATTGGTACACCGCAAGGCCAGGGCTGAAATGGAAGAATGCGGGTAAGTCTTCTTTTCCTCTCCCAGCAGCACCAGCTTTGTTCTAACTTATCAAAAATGTTTTCCTCCTACCTTCAAGGATCTCACTTTCAGCTCTGAGATCCCTGTATAAACAGCCAGCATCCAACCTGACTACTGGCAGACGGAGTACATGGGTGGTTTAGGCAAGTGTTGGGAAAGAGAATAATGTTTTCAAGCCCAGTGTGCTGCCATTCCTTTAAGCATCAAGCAAGAACACTTGCTGGGAGACATTTCTAGCAGCAATAGAAAACATTTTCTTCAGTAACTGGCAAATAATACTTCTGTTTAAAACAACAAACTGTTATAAATAGCCACCTCAAGCACACACCACACACAAATACCACATTTAATAACTATTGTATACGCATACAGAAAATGTCAGACTGGATCAGATCAGCTGCCTGTGTGGCTCACTGACCTTAGTAATTGAGGCTAATACTACATATGGGGAGGGAAGGGAGAGGAAACAAAACAACAATGAAAAAAAAAATTAAGATAAAAGATAACATATGTAAAAACTGCCAACAAAAAACTGTCTGGGTATTTTCCTAATTCTGACACTGTATGCTGCATTAGCATTTAAATATCAAATGAAATTTAAGTGGCTCTTACCAAACAACCGGTGGACGTTTTCATTATAGATATGGAAGGGTTTTTTGTTTTGGTTTGGTTCTATTTTTTTCTTAAAAAACTTATATCATAGTTTATTGAAATAGATTTATATCGCCTGATCATTTGGAATAAATTGCTAATTTAACTTGACTATGAAAATGTTAGAGAGATCCCCAAGTAACCAGGAATATATTTTTAATTTTGAAATACAATAAGTCTTACCAATTTTATTCCTTAGAGCATAAGGAATAACTGCACAAAAATGTACTCCACTGCCTCCCTGTCTTCTTTTAAAGTGACTCTAATCTTTAAAATCATGCTTCAAGCACAAGCCTTTCTGTGGCTAATACATCTCCACTAAGGAGAAATCTGATATTTTCCTATGCTATCTGATTTAAGATCAATCAGGCAAGAAGGCCTGGGCAAAAAGGATATCTACCTTAACTACTTCTCTGATAACTGTCTGAAGAAGCAGCAAATATGCTGCAGCCCTGGGGCTGCAGCCCCGTGCTAGCAAATAAACTGGACAATGTAAGGCATATCTCATGTGCCCAAGCAGCCCAAGTAAGATGAGAAATTCTAAAAACAAAGCTTCTAACAGTTGTGCATCATTGTGTTTTTTTTATTTTCAAGCAGTATCCTATTCTCACATACAAATATGTATATTTCTACTAATGTAAACTGTTTAGAGTTCATTTTATTAATATTTTATGAAAGAAAAGTAGGAATTGTCTGATAGGGAAATAGTATTTAAGCAACAATTAGTAGAAGTATTAATATTAGTAGAAGTATGCTTTTCCTTTAAGTATTTTAAAAGACATCTTACCAGTAAAAATAAATAAATAAATAAAAGTAACTTAACTTGCCCTGAAATAAATCACTAGAGTAGAGACCTCTGAAAACAGTAAAAATAATCTGTGTGCCTCAAAGTTCAGAACTACAGGAGAGTGTGTGCAGAGTAAAACACTGAAGTAGTAGACAGGAGACTTCTAATGAAATTCCCATGAACAAAGAAATAGGTATTTGATTAACTGGTAAATACAAACATTTTTTTGCTCACAGTAAATCTCTCCCACTTTGGGCAACGTTATCCGTCATCATGTACTCAGTGCTAAACCAACGTACCTTTCTTGTTTAAGTGCATATTCCAGCATTTTGATTCTCCGCACTAGGTCCTTCTTTAGATTTTCTTGCCCCTTCCTTTCACCTTGAAGAAAAGCGATCTGGGCCTGCAAAGAAAGTATTCAATGTAGACTGTTTCTTTAAAACCATTCAGAAGAGCTCAATTCTTCCTCCCGCCTCAAGTTACTTTGGAATTGATTTGTACAGGCCAAAAGAATCTGGCTTAGTGTTTCACAAACATTAAATGCTTAAACTAAGCATTGCATAGATAAGCCTTCTAAACTGCACTCCCATTTCATATAAAAAAAAACCTCACAAAGATAAGAAATAAATTTTAGCTTGTTTGACAGGGTTTATTTACTCCCGTAGCTAAACATTCAATCAAAGATAAAGAATATATAAAATCAACATACAAAAAGCCTTCACCAGATGAAAGCATTTGCCAATGATAAGCAGATGTTAAAATATTTCTCCTTACTATCTGAAGTAGTATATAATTAGTGCACTGTTATGCAGATACACGTTAGATACGTGATACTAGTCAAGAGAACTAAAATACAGCATGTCCTGCTAAAAGAAAAATAAAACTCTGTTTCTAACACAGTGCCATGTGTTAATTATAATACTAAAACAGGTTAAAGAAGGCTCTCCAGAAGTACTTTAACAGAGAGAAAAATAGGAAAGAGAGCAAGATATTTTGGTGAGAGGGAAGGGGAAAGATATGGCATAAAAGTAAAGAGAAGTGGAAAACAGGCACCTAACCTTTGTCAGTTTTCAGCAGACAGTACTTAGTAACCCATGAAAACCTCTTTTCAATAGGCAATGATGATACACATAGGATAGTCTTTCTTAATCATAAAGGCAGAATCTGATCCCATACTTCACGTTTAAGTCAAGTCATTATAAAACACAGGTTCTTGTGCTCTCTCAACTCACAAAGCACACTTCAGACAGAAACACCTCTGGACAGCCACCACTTCGTACCTCAGCCTCACCCATTCTTCAAGTTGCCTGCCATTTTCAGTGTCAGCAGCAACCTCTGCAGCAAAGTCATAGATGTACGTCCTGAAAAGCTTGAACAGCATAAAAGGCAACTGGTCAAGACCTCCAGCTGTTGAATATGATGACTAACAAGCTCTTCTTTTCCACAGATACTCACTATAAGCAAGTCAACTTGTTCTTTGCAGGTATTGCAGTCTGCATCAGTGTCGCAGGGGGAAGTTTGGGAGAAACAGAATTACCCTGTCCTCCTTACAATTTTGAAAGCAGTCCTCAGATACTGTAATTAAATGAGACTTGAACTGCTGCTAAAGAATAACGACTCTGACTTCAGGTTTTTATTGCATTTGCTGGTGATCAGCTACAGCAGCTGACACAACTTCACAGCTCAAATAGAGCCAGTAAATAGCATCACAAGCACCTGAAGAAGCCTTAGTACCAATCCCCAACTATAGCAGCCAGTTTACAACATGTGACAAACGTTGGCTAATCTCTCCAAAGAGCTCAGTCTTCATCTTCACCAGGGAAAATGTACTCAACTCCCCAAAAATCCTCAGCTGGATCAAAAGGAAGGCCCCATCACTCTGGCAGCAAGCTTGTTCTCACTCAGCATTTAACCTGAACTGAGCAAAAAGCCAGAATTAAATATAATGCTCCTTGTACGCTCAGTGCCAGGCGAGTCACAGTACTGCTCAGGAGCCATCGTCTACTCTGAAAATTTTAACTCTGCAAGGAGCATTTCAGCTCCATCCCTCTTAGCAACATCTCAAGCATGTACAACTTGGTTTGCAATAGCTGTACAGCCCCCCAGGTTACAAGGCACAGACTGATGCACCCCAATAGTAATTTCCATCAACCTGCTTCTAAACACACCCAACAGAAACATGCAAGTGCCATTCCAAGCAAGTGAGATGACATCAAAGCATACTATTCACCAAAAGGAAAGGAGTACATTATGTAAATATACACTTGGATGGAATGAAAAGGATTGCCCAGTGGCACCAGGAAACGTGCTGTAAGGACCTATGGCTACCTGCAGGCATTTCCGGCACAGGAAGAACAAAGCTGTGTGCCTAGAGGATGGACAGCAACAGCCACCCCAGCAAGGCCCGCATTTTACACATCAAGAAAAGGCCCTGGAAAAAATGTAATTGATTCTTTGAACTTCTTTTGCTGTGAGAGGTATGTCAATGCTGTCACTCATGTCTCATAACTTCCCTTGGAGGTCTAAGAACACGAAATACGTGTGGTTCTCACTTGGAAAGCAGGCAGCAATAACAACAGGCTGGAGTCAGAGGCCCATGAGCTGCCTTTGCACCCTGCACAGGCTTACAGCCAGAATCTTCCACAGTCACTATACTCAGGTTAGTCATTTTATTGTCAAATCAAGAAATGCAGGAGTGCACAAGAAGCTGTGGGAACAACCTGTGCCCTCTCTGAGCCTTGCAGCACAGCTGTGGAGTTTTTTTGAAGCATTACTTTTGACATTCTGACTCCTAAAATGAGATACTTTCATTTCATGTCATTTTCATAGCTCCAAAAGTAAGGACAGTTTTCCCCCTTCTTTCTCACAGACATTAGTAATCTTTATTCCTCATTTATATGCATATAGGATAATTATAGTCAAGTCATTCTTAAATCATTATTTACATGCATTAGCTCAAATTTTTATGTCACTAAGACGTTAAGAAACTTCAAAGTTAAGAAATTCTTCATGATAATATTAAGGCAAAGATGAGGACACGAGGACAGACAGCATAAAAAATAGAAACTGACATATTATGCATAATACTGCAGCAGTCCACATGTAGACTTCTTTCTCTACAGTCATCATTAAGTGAAAGTGTGCAGAGGGAACCTAAATGTTCATATCATACATGAAACAATTTGTAATATAAATGAATATTAGTTAATTATTCATATATATTTTATATATATATATATATATATATATATATATATCACCCAATCACAGAATTATAGGGGCTGAAAGGGACCTCTAGAGATCAACTAGTTAAAATCCCCATCAAAGCATATATATGACAAATTATGAGATGGAGCAGTATTTTCTCAGTCTTACACAAAAACGTTGTACTTCTAGATTCATAATTTCTGATCAAAATACTTAACCAATTCCCCTTATAAATATGCAAACATTTGAAGTGTAAGACATCTAAGTGCTGTTATGATGACATGACAACTACAGCTTTCTCATTATTTCAGTATAGTTGGAAGAAATTTAGAAATAAATTCGGACTGCACAGGCAGCTCCCCACTGTAGAAACATTGGTGCAAGTCAAAGCTCAGGTGAGAACTATCTGACAGCTAAGAAGCGAAGGAGAAATGCTTCAGTTCTGAATAATCTGTGATGTTTTGTCCTTCTGCTTTGGCCACTCCTAGGAAGGCTTGCCAAAAATGTCAAGAATTCACAAGTATGCCCAACAAACAGGTTTTGTAACAACTGACCTTCTAGCTAATAAGGTTAACATGCATTACGTTGTAAACTAGTCATGAGAAACCTCTAACTCTGCCTATGGGAGCACGTAAAACCTGAGCTGGTTCTTGCCCTATGGGTGGGGCACAGATCTCCACAAGTTGGCTGGTTTGCTAGCTCAGCAGCACACAATTGCAGCGGCATCAACCTCTGCTGTAATCCAGGCTAAGTGCTAGGAGTCACTGTGGTACAGCTCATCTGCTGAACTAGAATCAAGAGTCAGGTGGAGGAAGAAAAAAGCATTAAATACTTGTAACAGTCTGTTTGGGCTACTATTGGACAATACCTTTTTTTTTTTTTTCCCCATCTCCTTCCTTTTCATCTATTAAAGTTTCTGGCATTGCCAACTGCAACAAAAGTTTGAAGTTTAAAGTGCATCTGGTCTAAATTAGTAGCACTGTAGCTATCGTAACTGTTTCACCTCTTCACCAGGAGACTTTAAAAATAACATTCATTTTCAAGTGGGAAAAAAAAAGGACAAATCATGACAGTATGTTATGGTTATAAGAAGTTCCCCAGAAGGCGCTGACGTCACTTTCCTGTGAAAGGTACTGAAGGGTGAGGCAACCCCGTTAGCATTGGGCTAGAAGCACTATTACTATTACCATAGTTCAAGTTGTTGCCTTTTTAGTACAGACTTAAAAGTCATAAAAATATAATCAAATAATTACATTGCAGCTTAATAAAGTCTGGATTTTACCAATGTTTTAAGAAGTAAGCTGGGATTTACACTTCCTGGAATCATCACCCACAGTTTTATGGGTGTCAAAAAACCCGTGCACCTTTTTAGGCTGACATCTTGGTGTTAAAGAACAACAAAGGATTAACAAAAAAATTTACTGCCAGCAGAAATTGTTTACAAGGAAATAATGCCACAGCTGCTAAACAAATTGTTTGTGTTTACTACCAATTTCTCTCTGTTTATGGATTTAACAGCTATTTCAAGGTAAAAGGCTGGAAGGCATTTTAGTCAATCAAACTCAAGAACTACCAAAACCGTTTCCATTCTTTTCTTAAAGATGTTTCTCTTTTGAAACATTTCTTTCTTTTGAAATAAGTATAGCTTCAAATTTTTGGGGCACTGCAAGATTGACAGCCATCATTTTGGCAAAGTAAAAGCTATTAAGATAAACAATCCTATGCATACTGCTTCTGACAGGTTGGAAGAAAAAGAGCAAGAAATGGAAAACATTAAGAAAAGTATTGTAAAAATATGTAAATAGGTAAAATAACGAAATACCTACACTGATGAATCAGTCTGCAACAGCTGCTCTAACCGGTCTACCAAGATTTACCAGAACAACTCTGTAGGCTGTCAGGTGAGCTCAGGCTTCCAGATTACAGATGCACAACACATCAAGCACACTTGTAAATAGGTGTAGGCATGCCCTGAAGAGTCAGGGAGAGAAGAGAGAAAAACCAAGTGCAGCTCAGCGTATGCACAACGGGGGGAATAGCAGGCCTAGCACCAATGCTAAACAATTCTTCAAGAGCCACGCTTGAAAAACATCAAAACTTCACACCCACCAATTTCCAGCTGTCGGTCCTCTCTGCAAACAGAGAGCTAGGATGCTTGTACACACACTTGCAGTCATTTACTGCAATGCAAAGCTG